ATCTCCAATCATAGCACCCATCTGACATTCCATGGTCCATCACATCATCACAATGCCTGGACAGCCAGTACACTGCAAACCCCGGCGACTTGCACTGGATAAGTACAGTACATACTGGCTAAGCACGAATTTGAATTCATGCTTTCTTGGGGAATCTGCCAACCATCCAACAGCAGCTGGTCATCACCATTACACCTCGTTCGGAAGAAGGACAACCAGTGGCGATCCTGCAGTGACTGCCATCTACTTAACGCACAAACTGTTCCTGACCATTATCCTGTTCCTCACAAAGAGGATTTCACATCTACTCTCCACAGTTGTCAGTATTTCTCAACCGTCGACCTAGTCTGTGCTTTTCGCCATATTCCTATAGCCCTGGAGAGTATCCCTAAGGTGGCCATCATCACACCGTTTGGACTATACAAGTTCAACTTTATGTTTTTTGGTTTGTGCAATGCCATGCAAACATTTCAATGCTTCATAGACGAAGTTACCCGTGATCTCAATTTTTTCTACGAATTCATCAATGACATACTCGCAGCGTCCCAAGATGAAGCCGAACATCTACAGCACTTAATCAAATTGTTTACCAGACTTCACAACTATAGAGTTGTAATCAACACATCAGAGTGCATATTTGGCAAACACAAAGTGCAATTTATCGGGTATCTAGTCAATCCAAAAGAAATTTGTCCACTACTGCAAAAAGTCAAGATGATTATTGAGTTTCCAAAGCCAACTACCATCTGTGATTTACACCGATTTTTGGGATTGGTTAATTTTTATTTCTGTTTTGTATGCAATGCAGCCCATATCACCATAGAACTTAACAAACTCCTCCAGGGCAACCTGAATCCAAAAGACCAACTCGAGTGGACCCCTGATGCCGACAGTGCCTTCCACAATGTAAAAATTGCCGTTGCTAGTGCTGCACTAGTGACCCACCCATCACGAAATGCACTTCTATCCTTAATGGTAGATGAGTCATCCACTGCTGTGGGAGCATCCTTATGACAGATGATTGACGGACACTGGCAGCCATTAGCATTCTTCAGTCAAACTTTCAGAATCACGAAAAAAATGGTCCACGTAAGACTGTGAATTGTATGCTGCTTATACTGCTATCAAGAAGTTCAAATACCTGCTGGAAGGAAGGCAATTTACCCTATTCACCGACCATAAACCACTAACTTTCACCCTGAAGCAAAAACTCGAGAGAGCATCACCCTGACAGTTTGGCTACTTAGATTTTACAGCACAGTTCACCATGGACATCCGTCATGTTGAGGGAGCCAGTAACATTCCAGCAGATGTCTTGTCTAATATAGAGTCTATCATGCAGGTGATCAACTTCCTGGCACTCGCCTCTGCTCAAGAATCTTACAATAAACTCAGGCAACTCTTTTGTTCAAACACAGGCCTACAGCTAAAACGGATTACCATCCCAAACACTATGGCACTGCTTTACTGCGATACATCTACACTCAACATCTGTCCTTGTCACCAAAAACTTCTGACATCAGGCGATTGCCTCACTACACTGTTTGTCACACCCAGGGGTGAGAGCCATGTGTCATCTCATTAAGAATCCTATGTGTGACCTGACATTGAGCATGACTGCTAGAAGTTTGTACAAAACTGTACAAAACATGCCAGAAAGACAAAATCATTCGGCACACCATATCACTGACTGGATCATTCACTCTGCCAAATCAGCGATTTGACCATGTCCATATCAACATTGTTGGATTGCTTCTGCTATCCAATGGTTTTAGATATTGCCTCATGGCAATCGACTGTTTCTCACATTGGCTGGAAGCATTCCCCATATCAGAGATTACAGCTGCTGCCATAGCAAAAACTTTTTTTAAAGCTGGATTGCTCATTTTGGCATTCCACAACGATTGACGACCGACCAGGGACAACAATTTGAGTCCCACCCATTTTAAAACACTGATAGTGCTGACAGGGACATTGAGGATCCACACCACCGCCATTCATTCAGCTGCCAAAGGAATAATTGAGTGATTCCACCAGCAACTCAAGGCAGCAATCAAGTGTCACTCTTCTGATCGCTGGGTGGAGGACCTGCCCATTGTACTCTCGGGAATCCGGACCACTTACAAAGACGATATTGACGCAACCACAGTCACATTAGTTTATGGACAAATACTGCGCTTGCCTGGAAAATTTTTTTGTAACCGCCAATGACAGTACGATAGAAATGTCTGATTTTGTCTCTGATCTCCGGTGCAGAATGCGACGATTACATCCTGTTTCACTGCATAGTCATGGCACGCACCAAACATTTGTATTCTGAGATCTGCAGACCTGCTCGCACATCTTTGTATGCCACAACGCCACATGTAGACCTCTGCAGTCTCCATATGATGGACCATTCAGAGTACTTCAACGCTCCAGCAAGACATTCAGGGTAACCATTAATGGCAAAGAAACAACTGTCACCATCGACTGGCTGAAACCAGCTTTCATCACTGTCCCTACAACATGCATCACAACTAACATGAAAAAAGAAACCCCCACAAACACAAGCTCAGAGGTAACCAAACCACTGGTCTCAACCCACTCTGGATGACAAGTACATTTCAATGTGAGGTATTGTTAGCACTTGTAAGGGAGTACTGAGGGTGCAAATGCCTACAGACACCACCAGAGGGTCTCACGTAATGGTGACATCAGCGACACCGAAGAAATCTCACTTTTTCTTCTGGCGACTCACGAGGTCAGACATATATCGATCAAGATCCAACCACTTTGACCAAAGACTATAGTGCCTGACGACCATGGCCTGCAAAGTTATTCTTTCATCAGTAGATAGATGTTTGTGAGGCATTGTACTTGCCTGAGTCTATAAAGGATCAATGGCCACCACGCACTGTCAAATACATTCTGGATGTCTATACTAAGTCCCCAAAGCATATTTATTTCTGTCAAATAGTCCTTTGATGTTGTCAACTGCCACTGTGATAGCATGAACAGTTGACCTTTGCTTTCTAAAACCATACTGATTGTCACTCAGTAGGTTATTTGACTCAAGGTGCCAAGAGAATATGTTTGTAAGCAGTTTTTCCATTACTTTCCCTAGTGCAGGTAACAGGGAAATCAGTCTGTAATCTCCAGGTTTATTTACTTTAGGGACAAGTACCAACTTGGTTCGCTTCCATTCCCTGGAGAAGATGCTGAAATGTAAGCAAGTGTCGAAGAGGTGAAGAAGAAGTGTCGGGTTTATTTTCCAGATTTGTTTGATGATCTCTGGGGTAATTCTGTCAAGGGGTCTTTCTGTTATTCAGGTTAGTGATTACTTTGCCAAAAATCTTCGCGTGTGAAAGGGGGTGTGTCAGGGGTGTTAATATCTACATTTATCTTTTCTCTGGTTACACTATGAATGTCAAGATCTTTGTTTTCATTGTCTTCTACATATATTTTTTGAAATATAGCTTTGATGATAGTTTGCAGACAATTTGTATGTCCTTCTGTAGTTTCCATGCTGGTCATGGCAAGAGTGTTTGCTAGCTTTAGTGCAGTATTTTCTCCAGGATTTCAATTTAGAATCTTTTATGTGCTTTTTGTATTATTTTTGTAGCTGTAAATATTGTTGTTTATAGATGTAGTTTTTGATACTTTTTTGTGAGGATGTTATTTCTGAGCTGCAGTTCAGGCAGAGTATTGTTGCACCAAGGAACCGGTTTATTCTTGGCTCTGTGTTTCGGTATAGCGATCTCACATGCATCTTTAATAATTTTGAGATTTCATTCAATCCTTTTCTTAGCCTCTTCCCTTGAGTGTGAGAAAGTTATGTCAATTTTATCTATAATGTATGTTCTCCATCTTTCCCAGTCTGCCCGGGCAGTGCAATATCTTTGTCTGTCAGGATGGCCGAGTGGTCTAAGGCACCAGACTCAAGGTTTGTCCCTTCCTGTTTCAGGCATCTCCTCCACTATAGCCACTGCCACTTCCAACATCATTACACCATTGTGAGTTTAGTTGCAGGCATGTCAACATGGCTGCTATGATTGACCCTCCTGTCAAGTGCAAATTGTATAGTGTAATCTGGTTTCTTCAAGCAGAAAGGAATAGTGCTGCAGAAATTTATTGGAGAATAAGCTGGGCATATGGTGAAAACTTTGAGTGATGATGTTGTGCATGAATGGTATAGGAAACTTAAAGAAGGCTGAACCAATGTTCATGATGAAGGGAGACAAGGACGAAAGTCTGTTGCAACAGAAGACATTGCTCAATGAGTTGACCAAGTGGTTTGAAAAAAACAGAGATTGTGAGTTGTGTGTGGAATTTCCTGAAGTTTCAAAATCACCTGTTTACAGAATCGTAACAGATCACCTATGTTACAAAAAAACTCCGCTCAATGGTTTCCAAAGATGTCTGATGACCACAAAAGTTGCTGAATGGAAGCAGCACTGACATTCCTCATCTGTTATGAGGCTAAAGGTGATGATTTTTTGACATCAATTGCAACTAAAGATGAGACTTGGATTCAACATGTCACTCCTGAAATAAAACAACAGTCATGACAATAGATGCACTCAAACTCGCCAAACAAACTAAAAAAGTTCAAACAAACATTCAACAACAGGAAGGCTATGGCTACCATGTTTTGGAACCAAAAAAGGTGTATTGTTGGACCAATGACCTATTTTTTGAGGGGTTTAGAAAGTTTTTTAGAATGGCATCAAATTCATTTTTTCCAATATACAATTTTATATACTATTTAAGTACCATTTATGTATGATTTACTTAGCTTTTATTAATATTAATGGACATTTGTTATAGCAGATGGTTTTTCATTCTGATATCTTTTGCATTTCTTCATTCCAATTCTTAAATGCTCTCTCATTAATGATTTTTGATTATTTAGAATAAACAAATAAATATTAAATGCAAAGAAGTTCTAAATTTATTAGTATAAATTTCAGTTTTCTAACATTATGTTTGTATAATTTTTCATAATTAATATGACTTACTTGATAAAAATAAAATCCATATAATGGAATGGCTTGTAAGGAGTCTTTCATTACATATCTAACATGACCGAGACTGCCTTGTCTTTCTGCTAGCATATGGACTACTATCCAATCCACTGTTATATAAATAATAAAACTAATAACTAATTATTTGAAGTTATTTATGTTATTTTATTAACATTTAAAATGTTTTTGTAAAATTTAATTATTTAAAAATATTTAAATTACTTTTAAATCTACTCATAAGAGCATATATCTGCAAAATTCTGTATAGTTCACAATAACAATAATAGACTTTATTTCTAAATATAGTAATAGTTTAGATTCATCATAATTTAGAAAAAAGTAGAATTTGATTTCACAATAGAAAAAGTATGAAACCTTATTAAATAAAAACAGTATAAAAAAAATTTATATTCATATCAATGAAATCTGATTTCTAGGTGGTTCGTTTTTTTCCACCTAAAACGAACCACCGCGAATTATCTACAGCAATGGATTGCGCATTTGATATTTCCATTATTCAAATCTTCATTTTCTAACATTACTATTATAAACACTCGATGCAAGTATATTAATAATAAATTATACATTAATTAAATTTCTATTTGCCCGAATCCAAGCATCCAAACACAAAATCCACTGATTTCTAGAAAATCCAATAACAAAAACAGAAAATAAATTTTTCTTATTTGTAATAAGATAAGGTTGTCCACTTTCTCATGACCTGTTTAATATGTACATTGAGAACATTATACAAATAATAAAAAAAGTAAGACAAAAAGTATAATAATAAATGGGAAAAAGATACACTGCATTAGGTTTGCTGATGATATAGTGATAATGAATCATTCAAAAAGAGAAATAAATCATATGCTTAGTATACTGCATAAAAACTTACATCAGTGGAGCTTAAAGATAAACATTAAGAAAACAAAGGTGATGATGATGGTAAAGAATACCAGGAAGACAAAAGCTAACATCAAGATTGATGGACAGCAAGTGGTTGCTCCACCTACTTTCCATCAATCTTGAAGTAAGAAATTTTACTTATTTAGTGACTGAAATCACAGAAGATAACAGATGTATAAAGGAGGACAAGAAAAGGATAAGGTTTGTGAAATAAACTTTTGGAAACAAAAGAAATCTGTTAATGTTAAAACACTTAAGTACAGAAGCAAAGAAAACATTTATTGAAACAATTCTTGGGAAAAATTTGTTGTACAGAAGTGAATGCTAGATATTAAGAAAGCAAAAGTGAACCCATCTGTAGGCAGCAGAAATATGGATATAGATAATAGTAAACAAAACAAGCTGGACTGAACAGAGAACAAATAAAACATTTCTGAAGGAAGTGGCAGAACAAAGGAAGTTAATACAGTAAATAGGGATAAGAAAAATTAAATTTACAGATCATGTTATTAGGCACAATAATTTCCTAAAAACTTCAAGCAAAATTCTCGGAAAGAAAGAAAAACCAATACCAAGAAAAAAATATCTAAAATAGGTCAATGCTTCAAAAGATTCTGATAAATTAAAAAGGGTTGCAGAGGAGAGAGAGCATTAGTTGCAGTGACACAGTATTACAAATCTGGCTATCTATTAAAGGCTGTCTTATAGTCTTTAATAGATAGCCAGATTTGTAATACTGTGTTTCTATGGCAGCTATATATATATTTTTTTCCTCAATAAAGGGCATTTATGATTTCTTTTCTTCATTCATTTAATAAATATTGTCATCTGTTATATCATCATGTGAAACATATTTCTAATGTCTATTGCTTCTATCAAGGTCTGAAATGGGTATAGTGACTGATTTTCCTTTTACTACACATGGGCAGTTATTTTTCTAATCTAAAATGTTCAAACATATTTATCATGTAACATTCCAGAAAAGGAATTCAAGCTGAAAAATAACTCAAGAATATCACAAAAACTACTTTTTCACTTTCTAGCACAATTATTTAATGAATAAACAAAATGTTTTTGTACTGCTTTTTCATCTTCAGGTCTACCTATACATTAATGTACTTTTGTTCTATTTCTTCAGAATATTCAAATAGGTTTACAACAAATTTTAAATATGGAATCAACATAAAAATTTAAATTTTATTTTTTTTTTTATATGCTTAATTACAAATAAATTNCAAAGAATGAAAACTAAAACTGATTATGTATGAATCTCAAATGTTATTTATTTCAAACTATTTCTGACCTCACTTTAGATTATCCTCAGTGTAAATTAACTACAAAATAACAAAATAAAATATTTACAGAATAGGACATTTTTAAAAATCAGTAAATAGAATACTTTACCTTCAATTATTATTTTTATTTAATTTAACTGCTGTTTTTATCACATCCATGTTATCATCATCACTACTACATTATTCAGTACATCTTTTATTAATTTATTAACATATGTCAATGTTAAATTTTATTTTATCATGTTTATGCAAATATAAGGTACAGTACATATTAATTTATACATGCTCACCCATAAATATTTTTTAATAAGACAATTTTAGACAAAATTTATTTCAACATAACTGATTCCATTGACATAAATTTGTTCAATATTTATTGTACAGCAAAGTAAGTTACAAATCACTGTCTTCCATGATATCAAAGTCAAAAAAATCTTCACTTTCCATGTTAAGCTCCTATGTATCAACACTGAATTTGATGTTTACATCTTACCATACAGAATCATATAGTCATCTAGTGCCATTTAAAGCATTGGAAATTGGAAATGAAATATTTCTTGAAAGAAGTGCTATACAAGCTTTTCTGGGATTTTCATCCAAATACTTACAATGTTACTTTAATAGGCTAACAAGATTCAGCTATGTTGACCTTTTAAATATTTAATGTCACAAATATTGGTGTAATAAAATCGTTAAAATGATGCAGGAATTAGTGGCAGAAACATAGCACTAGAGGTTACAAATTATGATGTATTACAACAAATCACAGATTATTTCCATAAGTACTAAAACCTAAAAAAGTACATCTTACATTTGAATAAATATGATATTTTAAAATTCTTGTATTCAAAATTCAGCTAAATACAGTATATATATTTAAAAATATTCTATTTGGTACTTTTATAAATGTCCTATTCTCCAAACATTCTATTTTGTTGTTTTACTTTTGACTTAAGCTGAATATAATCTAAAGTGAGGTCAACACATTTTGAAATAACTTTTGACATTCAAAAGCAAATAGTTTTGTTTCCTGATTCTTCATTTTCTTTTTAAATATAATTATACTGAAAATAATATATACACAACTGTTTATATGAAAATCATTACAACTTACAGGTATTTTATCATCTCGTAAATAATTTAAAGCAGAATTCATTTTAGATCCATCAAATTTTCCTCTCTTTACAAAAATGCATCCATGCTGAAATATAAAACTAACTTTAAATAAATGTAATTTAATAATTTAAATATTTCAAATTTGCAAACTGATATTAAATTAAAAATTTATAAAGTATTTAATACATAAGTGGTTTTTGTTTCAACCTCCGATCATGCAGGTAAACAGCCAATTGAGTGGAAGGAGGTAGGTATGCACAAAAAGGATGATTGCACATCTCCTCCACTTGTTTTTTTATTAATCAGGTACAAGTGACATTTATTGGTATATATCCAGTACAGCTTAGCACAACTGGGTGGCAGACTACATATAGTCATCATTGTACAAAAGAGATATTAAATGTGCTTAATAGTAAATGAATGGTATGAGCGAGAGTGGATCTTTTCACTACTCACAATGCATGGGATTTAACACAAAGGGCTGGGTAGCTTCCCAGAAAACCAACAATGTTCAGTATAATTTTTGCACTATAGTCCATTTGAAATATAAGTCTATAAGAGTTTTGAAGGACCTGTAGATTTCTTTGTTTTGTAGAAGACTTTTATTACATGGCCAATTTATATGTTTGTAGCTTAAAATTAGCCTAAAAGCCCTTCCTTTCTTTTTTGACTATAGGGCAGTCAAACAGGTAGTGATGGCTTCCATTGGTTTTGTCACAAATAGATCACTATCAGTAATTTTGAACCTGTATAAGTAACTTTGAAAGCAGACATGGATCATCATAAATTGGGTCGTATTGTGATAAATTTCAAGCCAATTCATCTTGTAGCTACTTTTAATGTTTGGTAAGTATGAGTAAGTTGTTTCATTATGAAAGTTGTCCCAAAACATTTGCCATTCTTTTAAAATATAGTTTTTTATAGCATTGAATCCTGTCACAGGTGGTAATTTGCTGTATATTATGGTGTTTTCTTGGTTGATGGCTTTGTTGGTTTTTTTGTTGCCAATATTTCCCTGGTGTCCTCTCAGCCAATTAAGGGAGAAGGCACCATTTGAATTTTGTAGCATAGTATTAACATTATTTGTAATCGGGTGAGTATCAGTGTTTTGAATTATGTAAATAGCTGTCAAAATAGATGTTAACATTATGATGTGTGTATTTAGCAATAGTCTTCCACTGCAGTGGCAATCGCCAGCAATTCTGCTTGTGTAACACTGCATGTATCGACTAATTTGAGAAGTTTACTCTCAATTTCCGTATATTTATGATATATTACATAACTTGCACCAATGTTATTGCCAATTTTAGGTATAGTGTGTATATGTCTATATGATTGTCTGTCAATGATTCAGAGTAAAAATATTTTCTTTTACTTGGGTTCTGGATAAATGCATAAGGGATCTTCCATTTGAAATTGTCTTTTTTAAGTCTCTCATCCCCGATGGTAATGACATTATCGTGTTTCAGTTCCCATTTTAATGTGTGGTATCTGATTTTGAGATTCATGGGGGCTTTTCTAGCAATTATCTGGAGCCTGTTAGTAGGAGTCATTCTGTAACCTTCAGTGAGAATTAGTAGTGCTTTCCTTTGGGCTGATATTAGTTTCTTTTTATTATGTATTTTGTGAGTGGCTTCTTCCCAAACCGGGCAGGAGTAGGTAATTATTAGAATAAATATCATGTTATAAATTGAGTCCATAACATGAGAGAACCCCCAGTTGCTTTTAGCAATCTTAGAGAAAGATAACTATTTTCTTACAAATGTTCTCAATATGTGTGGTCCAAAGCAGCT